GCGTGCCCGCGCGCGGGGCCGCTTCCGGCCGCGCTCCCTTTGTGCGGGACAAGATGGCGGCGCGGGCCGGGTTCCAGGCGGGGCCCGCGGGCGGCGGCGGCTCCGGGGCCGCCCCGGGGGCCGCGCTGGGCCCGGGCGCGCCGGGCGGGGCGGTGCGCATGGGCCCGGCGCCGGGGCAGGGCCTGTACCGCTCGCCGCTGCCCGGAGCCGCCTACCCGGTGAGGCGGGGGCGGCGCGGGGCGGGGCGCGGGGCCGGGCGCGGCGGGCGCTGACCGGGTGTGTTCTCTCCGCAGCGCCCCGGGATGTTACCGGGAGGCCGCCTGGCGCCGCAGGGCCCGGCCATGGGCCCGCCGGGCTACGGTGGGAGCCCCGCGGTGCGGCCCGCGCTGGCGCAGGCCGGGCTGGACCAGGCCCGCAAGCGGCCGGCGCCGCAGCAGCTCCAGCAGGTGCAGCCGCAGGCGGTGCCCAACCGCAACCACAAGTAAGGGACGGGGGGAAAACGGGGCGTACGGGGACATCCCGGGGACATCCTGGGGCGCTGGGAGCATCCCGGGGCAGCCGGGATATCCCAGGACATCCCAGAGCGTTCTTGGGACAGAGGGGACAGCTGTGGGCAGAGGGGACATCCCGAGGCGTCCCCGGGCAGCAGGGACATCCCTGAGCATCCTGGGACCGTCCTGGGGCAGTGGGGACATCCTGGGGCTGCTGGGTACTTGACCCCGGGCATGATGGGCATCCCTGGGCATCGGATGGAACCCCCTTCCCAAGGGATGTAACCCCCTTCCCAGGGGATGTAACCCCCTTCCCAGGGGATGTAACTCCCTTCCCGAGGGATGTAACCCCCTTCCCAAGGGATGTAACCCCCTTCCCAGGGGATGTAACCCCCTTCCCAAGGGATGTAACCCCCTTCCCAATGGATGTAACTCCCTTTCCAAGCGCTCAGAGGGATGGGAAATGCTGGGGTCAGCAGTTAGTGCTGCAGGGCTCAGGTAACTGGAGGGCCCCTGGTCAGTCAGCGCTGTGCAGGTTTGGGAATTCCCACGGCCAGATCCGTTCCAGTTTTCCCACCTGTTTGTGCCTCTTCCCCCCCGCCCTGCAGCGCCAAGAAGAAGAAGATGGCAGACAAAATCCTCCCTCAGCGGGTGAGTGGGACCCAGGGGGAGAAGGGAGGGAGCCTGGGGCACTCTGGGGAGATGGTTGATGGGAATCTCCATCCTTGCCTGGTCACAGATCCGGGAGCTGGTGCCCGAATCCCAGGCCTACATGGACCTGCTGGCCTTCGAGAGGAAGCTGGACCAGAC